GATAAAAGGATCTCCTTGACGGAGTCTTCTCTGAGGATACAAAAAACCTTTTCATTCGCCATTAATTATGAAAAAGTAAGACACTATACATTAACCATCCACTTAAAGTGATTTTAAGTTTTTAATAATGTCAAAAGTGATTTTGTCGATTTCAAAATCACTCCTAAATACATCCTTAAACTTTCTTAAAATCAATTTTTTAATTTGTCAAATATGATGCATGGAAAGGAAGTGATTTTGACCACGTCAAAACTGACTTGGTCGGACCAAAATCACTCCCAAATACACCATAATTTACACCTTATTTAATTTTTCATTAATACATATATGTTATTGATATTTTCATTAAATTGTTATACATTTGAGATCTCAATATTTTTGTTCACGTATCAATTTTACTAAAAAATTGTTCACGTCGACATTTAACTCATTTAATACCATACTCAAGCATTAGAAATCAAATTAGTTTTTTATAAAAAATGTAACAAATGTAAGTATAAGATCCGCTTGGCTATTTTTTTTTTTTAAGACCCGCTTGGCTTGGGCCATTTGCGATCGAATATAGAGAAATTCTATGGCCCAATCCATATGGCCCATATATGAGGAACAAAAATCGTCATAAATACCAATTCTAAAAAAAAAATTGGAATTAGAGATTTAAATCTTCCAGAATGAGTTATACTTTAATTGCTAATTTATACTCTGATTAACCACTCATTTATGATTAGGTTGTAGGCATTTTTGTATCTGTCAATTTCTTATCTTTAAAATAATGTGTGTATTAATAGAATAACTTTTGATTTACATGGTAATTAAGAGACTAAACAATTGAAGTATTATTTCAGATTGTCATTGAAGTTAATACTGTCATTGTAGTCAATATGAACATAGATAAATGGTAAATATATATATTATTGAGATCGGAAGTTCCAACATATTTTCAAAAAAATCGGCATTATAAATTAAACAATTAAAACTATTTTTTCTTTGTTCAACCCTATAAGATCAGCTCAAAGTTGACCAAAATGGGTTAAACCAAACAATATAATCTCCAAACTAGTGATAAATTCATAGTGTATAATTTCTTTTTTTTTTTTTTTTTGTTTTTGACAGATAGGTCATTTTGTTAAATGGCGACAATCATATAGCCATACATGCCTAATCTACCAATTTCTATATGACTAAAATACCCTTAATAGAATCTCAATATCCTATATTTCATTAATGTCGATAACATTTGGGGGCAATTAAAAAGATGAGCTAAGAAAGTTTCGAGATGCATGGCGTATGATAGTTAGTGTTTCTTTTTTTTAGTACAACACGTGGGGTGGAAATCGAACTCACAACCTCATAATTGGAGACATATGTCAATTATCGGTGAATTATGCTCGATAATAAGATTATAACATTCTCTCGATATGGAGTTATTTACATGGGTTTGATTTTGTTTGTTTTTCTTAAATATTTATTTTGGTGGTAACATTTTAAACATATTCACTACAATGGGCTCATATTAATTTTCCTTGAGATTTTTTTTATATAAAAGAAATTTCTATATATTTTGAACGAATGTTGACATGTGAAATATATTTTGATCCCATCCCAGCAATATATTACACTTTTTTTCTTCAAGTATAATATGTGGGATGGAAGATCAAATTCATAATCTTTTGGTTTGAGATGTAGGTCAATTATTGCTGAACTATACTCACTTTAGTGCAAATATTACACTTTCAATGTAGAGTGCTTGACATGAATGCATTCCCCATATATAGAGATTCTTCATAAGAAAGGGATTGAAATCTTACCTTTGTTTGTACATGAGTTCAAAGTAATGTGTACTACAGGCCTTATTGAATGATAGAAATGTTTTATATCGAACCCGCTCAACCCAATTAAGAAAAATCGAACCTGGCAGACACATCGTTTGCCCTTTTGGTGGTTATCTCATTTTTCTACTTCCCTGGTTGGTTTCTATGGCCAGGGAGGCATGGTCTTTTTGTTGCCCACGTGGCCTCTATTCCTCGTTAATAAAGCTTTTTTCCTTGATAAGAGAAAAAAACATGTGATATATACGGTATAGTTTTAAAAAAAATAAATAAACTAAATTACAAATTTTCATTTAAATATTATAAATTAGAGAAAATCACTATTAAACTGAACTGATGCATTCTAAATTAACACCTATTGAGTATGCTTTATACAAAAGAAAAGAAATAGTTAGATGAGTGGGGAGGACAAGTATAGCATTATGGATATAAATGTGATTGGACTATATCATTAACTTGAGAATATATACAAGGTAAATAATAATAGTTATAGATAAAGTTCTAATATATTATTTATAATTAACATCATATATTTGATATATATATATATAATTTTTTTTTTGAGATACATATACTTGAAAATATTATGTAGGCTTTAGACATTTATAATAATATATTATAGAACCATTGTTATGATAAAATTGAATAGGTATATATTTACAGACTAAAAAGTGATCACATTGATAATTATATTTGCACCGTTAATTCAATTATATAGGAGATAATATGTATTCATATTTACACCGTGCATTAAAACTAATATAATAGAAAAATAGTTGTCATGGCAAATTTATTAGAGAAGAAATTTAAACAGGTAAACTTTAAAATTGAAAACAGGACGTTAAAGAAACTTAAGGGAAAAAAAAAACTATATATATTTTTAGAGATATTAAATTATATTATAATTCCCAGACGTCGGCCACATTTTAATACTACATTCATTTCAATAAAATTTTTGTTTTCCAGCTTGGTTTCTCAATTATTCATTTATCATTATAATTAAAATAATATACATACCAAAAGACATAATTTTGGCTATGCAAGTTATAATAATGGATATTTTGGATAATAGATTTGAAGATAAATTAGTGAATAAAAGAAAAGAAAATACTAAACAATATTTATATGGTATATACAAAAATGTAAGTTAAAAACATGTTAAGTTTGCATTAGTAGATATTCTCATAAATTATAAAATAACACAAACTAAATTAATGCCTAAATTATAAGGTATTAATAACAGTTTTAAAAAATGAAATCTAATTTAAATAAAAGATACAGAAATGTAATTAAATATCTTTTCAAATTTTGGAAATAGTTTGTTAAGCATAAAATATTTAAGAAATGGTTTGAAAAATAAATAATTTAGGCCTTAAATAGTACTAACAAAAAAAATAAAATAAATAGGCCTTAAATATTCGGTTTGCCACGTTTTCATTTGAGGTGTTGGACATTTCTCAATTTAGAGGTTTAAATAAAGTGTCCAGAAACTTCTCTCTAAACTCTGGACTTGGATTATTTTTTGGGCCATGGCGCTTTTAATGAGCTTAGAGATGTTTTTTTTTCATGGTCATCAAAATTAATATTTTATTTTGATTTAAATTATATTTGTTGGATAACTATACCTTGTATATATAAAATGTATATAATATCTGCAAAAAAAATTACAACGTAACTGACTATAAAAAATACATATTCTAAAAACTTGTACAACACCAAAACTTAATAAATATAGTCGATGCATGTTTCAATAACGCTGACTTGAAGACAATTATTTGCTCTGCATTAGTTGTTAGCAGACTACAACAATCGTTTCAGCAAAATACAATGACTAACTCTAGTAGAACAACAACCTCAAACTACTCAGAATCTGACAAAACTCTCAGATACTTGCTCTCAAACACAAATAAAAAGAGAGAACTCTTTTAAGAGGAGGAGAAACCCAAATGAGAAATATTTGATCTCAAATGAGGAAAAAACAACTATATATAGTTGTCCAACATATAACCTCTCACACAAAAGTAAGCACATATGTAACATTTTTACGTGTGTAACTTTAACACATAAATATTAAAAAAACTTCTCACTTAATAAATAACTTAAGTTTAACATATATGTGTTTAACACATTTAAAGTTATAAATGTGTAACTTTGTAACTTTGACCAAATAAAGAAATAAAATTACTATARTAATATTGAATATGTAACTTTCACTTTTTTCACACCTTAAAAACCAACATACTTTTCTTTTTGTAAAATTTTAAATGCCTCAAATGTCTTATTTGTTTGCAATGTTAAAATATTTAGTCGCCAAAACAAATATAATTGACATATATTTCCCATAAAAAAGTTGTAAGTTTGAACTCGTACCCCTACATGTTGTACTAAAAATAAAATTTAACCGCATTCTTTTATTAAGAAAGATGGTTCATGTAAAACATAATTTCGTAAAAAAAAACATCTAAAAGAACTATTGTCTTACAAAACTGATGAATTAAGCTCCTATTTGCGCTAAATCTTAATAAAAACTTTGTTTTTTCAAACGACTTAATAAAAAACTAATCCAAGTCAACCAAACAAAAAACATTAACTTATACCTAATATATAGTAGCAATTTATAACATGATACAGTTCCAAAATCCAATCAAACCCCGCAAAATTTATAACACATGATTAATATATGTATTAGATATTTAATATATGAATTAAATTTATCCATCTATAAGCTTAAGCTTTTGAGATGAGTGGTGATTTGTTTATCTTTAATATGATATCAGAGTGGGAGGTCCGTGTTCGAATTCGTACATAGTTGTTTTCTCTTTATTTATTATTGGATTGAGTGGTGATTTGTTCATCCGTACGTACTAAGTTAAAATTATAATAATTTGAAATTAAGTTAAAGTAACAAAATTAATAATAAAAAGAAGAAAAAAAGTTTTCAAATTTAAATTATTGTTCCGCGTTCGCTGGATGTGATGGGCCAGGGAAGCGCCAAGGAGAATACATGGAACGAGAGGGAAACTGGGAAATCGAAGTCTACGCCGACCTCGTCTAAGCCCAATCGGGCCGTTAATTATCTTTCTAATCCAACGGCTTAGAAAGCAACTAGGGCTCGGAACCTTCTGGAATTTTTTTGAAATCTCTGGCTATATAGCCATCTCATTGCCCTCTGCTACACCACTTCTTATAACCTAGTTTTGCCTCTCGTTCTTCTTCCCCAAATCTCCGTTTCTTCTTTCTTTGATTCCATTTCCATTCTTCGCTGCCATTTCCGTAGCAGGGTTGCAGAATGGCCGGAAAGGGAGAAGGTCCGGCTATCGGAATCGATCTCGGAACCACGTACTCTTGTGTCGGCGTGTGGCAACACGACCGTGTTGAGATCATTGCCAATGACCAGGGTAACAGGACCACCCCGTCCTATGTTGCATTCACCGACACTGAGCGTTTGATCGGTGATGCCGCTAAGAATCAGGTCGCCATGAACCCGATTAACACCGTCTTTGGTAAGATTTCTGTTCTCAGCTAGCATTTGTTCTCTGTTATTGGATCTGTTGTGCTTCCTTCGTTTTTGTTTTGACTGTTCAACTACTCTGTCATGATTACTATTTCTAAATGCATGTTGCATGTCTTTTGTAAGCGTTGTTTGTGATGAATGCGAATTGGCTCTAGTAATGTTCTTGTATTGTAGATCTAGTGTTTGTTTTATAAGCTTCTTTTAGATCTGAAGCTTTCATCGAGTTTTTGTCCCCTGTCATGTGGATCTGTTGTGTTCAGTTTTAGCATGAGTTAGTAATGCGCTGCACACGTTCTTTGGTTCTGATTAGATCGTAGGGGTTTCTTATTTACATGTAGGAGCTTCTGTGAACAATACTTCTGGTGGTTATTCCATTGAAATTTAGCTTTGGTATTGGTTGGTTTGTCGTTGTTCCGTCGTTTTTTTCCTGGAAATCTGAGTTTGATGGTATTATTGTATTTCGGTTGGTTCTACCATTTTTAATCATGTAGTTTCGTATTGCCTTTCACGATTTACACTTTTCGGCTGTTGCTTTTACTTAGCGAATGTTTCCTAGCTCGTTGTACTGTCGAATTTGGATTCAGTTCTAACGAAGTGGTCAATCTTAAACTGGGCAGATGCTAAGAGGTTGATTGGCAGAAGATTCAGCGACTCATCAGTCCAGAGCGACATTAAGTTGTGGCCATTTAAGGTCATTCCAGGCCCTGGTGACAAGCCCATGATTGTTGTTAGTTACAAGGGCGAGGAGAAGCAGTTCGCTGCTGAAGAAATCTCTTCCATGGTTCTCATCAAAATGCGTGAGATTGCCGAAGCTTACCTTGGTTCCACTGTGAAGAATGCTGTGGTTACCGTCCCTGCGTACTTCAATGACTCTCAACGTCAGGCCACCAAGGATGCTGGTGTCATTGCTGGTCTCAATGTCATGAGAATCATCAATGAGCCCACGGCCGCTGCCATTGCATATGGTCTTGACAAGAAGGCAACCAGCGTTGGTGAGAAGAACGTTTTGATTTTTGATCTTGGTGGTGGTACTTTTGATGTCTCTCTTCTTACCATTGAAGAGGGTATCTTCGAGGTGAAGGCCACTGCTGGAGATACGCATCTTGGTGGTGAGGATTTCGACAACAGATTGGTGAACCACTTTGTGCAGGAGTTCAAGAGGAAGCACAAGAAGGACATTAGTGGCAACCCAAGAGCTCTTAGGAGGCTGAGGACATCTTGTGAGAGGGCTAAGAGGACTCTCTCATCCACTGCTCAGACCACCATTGAAATTGATTCCTTGTACGAAGGAATTGACTTCTACTCAACCATTACTCGTGCCAGATTTGAGGAATTGAACATGGATCTCTTCAGGAAGTGTATGGAGCCCGTTGAGAAGTGTTTGAGGGATGCCAAGATGGACAAGAGCACCGTCCATGATGTTGTCCTTGTCGGTGGCTCTACTAGGATTCCCAAGGTCCAACAGTTGTTGCAAGATTTCTTCAATGGCAAGGAGCTTTGCAAGAGCATCAACCCTGATGAAGCCGTTGCTTATGGTGCTGCAGTTCAGGCTGCCATCTTGAGTGGTGAGGGCAATGAGAAGGTGCAGGACCTTCTTCTGTTGGATGTCACCCCTCTCTCCCTTGGTTTGGAAACAGCTGGTGGTGTCATGACAGTGTTGATTCCGAGAAACACGACCATCCCCACCAAGAAGGAACAGGTATTCTCTACCTACTCCGACAACCAGCCTGGTGTGTTGATTCAAGTATACGAAGGTGAGAGAACGAGAACCCGCGACAACAATTTGCTTGGGAAATTTGAGCTCTCTGGCATCCCTCCAGCTCCCAGAGGTGTTCCCCAAATCACAGTGTGCTTTGACATTGATGCCAATGGTATCTTGAACGTCTCTGCCGAAGACAAGACAACGGGTCAAAAGAACAAGATCACCATCACCAACGACAAGGGAAGACTCTCCAAGGAGGAGATCGAGAAGATGGTTCAAGAGGCAGAGAAGTACAAGTCTGAAGACGAGGAGCACAAGAAGAAGGTGGAAGCCAAGAACGCATTGGAGAACTACGCCTACAACATGAGGAACACAGTGAACGACGAGAAGATTGGTGCTAAGCTATCCCCCGCCGACAAGAAGAAGATCGAGGATGCCATCGAGCAGGCCATCCAATGGCTCGATGCCAACCAGCTCGCTGAGGCTGATGAATTCGAAGACAAGATGAAGGAATTGGAGAGCATCTGCAACCCAATCATTGCCAAGATGTACCAAGGTGCCGGAGCTGACATGGGCGGTGGAATGGACGACAGCGCCCCAGCCGGCGGTAGCGGCGCTGGTCCCAAGATCGAGGAAGTCGACTAAATTAATCTCTCCTCCACAAGTCGTTTCTTTTTTTGGAATATCGATTTTGATTTATCATTTCGTGGCTTAGTTAGTCGAAGCCATCGTTCACTGGGGTATTTTTTCTCTCTCTCTATTGTTAAGTTTTTTGAAGACTTAGTGGCGGAAATTACTTTTGGCCRCAAAAACTGTCGTTTTATTATATTTTTCAGCACATGGTAATATTGTTGTCCAAGACTTTCGGCCATATTGTTTTCTACTGCCTCATCCTCTTTACATCAAGAAAAATCGTACAGCAGCCCAGGCCCAGGCCCAGATTTGGATCTGGGCGGACTTTGGGCTTATAATTTTAATTGTTAAAATCCATTTTAGCTTTAGGGCATTTTGTCTTTTCATTCTTCTGTCAACCAAAAACCTTGCCGCATCTGAACCGCTGAATTCGACATCCACGTGTCGAACTTTTGGTAGGGTTTGAAATTTTATAGTTCTTTATTATTAATTTTAATATTGATCAGATTTTGAATTGTGGAAGGGGGCCATGGGACAAGGATTGGAACACGCGGTTGCCAGCTGTCCTTAAATTAAAAAAAAAGGAAGAAATTGAGAGGTTATTATTAATTGGGTTTAGAAATGTGGCAAAGCTTATCTTAGGCGCCAACCTTGACCCATCAATTTTCAACTCTCGTTCCTTTCTTGGAAACTTCAAAACCTTACCTCTTCACTCCTCACATGCACCAATCCAGTTTTTTCATACTAATTCTCCTTCAAATTCCACAAATTTAGTGATTTAGTTCAAATTACTTCTTCCACTCATGTGATTGTTTAATATTATAGTAGGTTTGGAAGTAACTTTGTCACTAAACTAAGGTAAATTTTACCATTGTCAAAATTACTTTCATTTTAAAATAGTAACGTTTAAGCAAAAGTAAAAGTAATTTAGGTCAAGCTAAATCTTCATTGATGTTCTTAAGGATGTTTGAACTATTTTAAAACAGATTTGCAATAATATTAGAAGAGAAGTAGGGCAACAACTATCAAATCACTTGATGAAAAAAAAAAACTCGATTGAGTTTCAATTAAACCTTGAAGGTGCAATTATTTTATCAATCAAAATAGTGATTACACGTTCACACAAAAAAGTTTTATCAAAATGGATCGAATCAAATCATTCCAGTTGATTTGATAACTTAAATTTATTCAATTTCAGCCATTTCAATTGATTATTTAACTAATTTAGTCAAATTTGAAGGTATTAATACTTTAAAATGTCAATATCAATATTGACTTTTAAATTGTTAGATAACTGATAAGTTGATCTGGTATTAGTTTTGATTTGAAGTTTCAAAGAAAAAAAAAAGAGAGAGAAGAGAATATATAAAGATACATTGTAAGATTTGAATATCAAGAAGAGAGAAAGTGAAAGAAACACGCAAACTCAGAAATCATTAATCAAATCTACAAAAGAATTCATAGATTCTTTGAACATGTGAAATCACAAAGTTACTTTCATTTCAACTTCAATTATAGGACACCATTGAAAGGACAACATTATACAAATAAAATTTCTCCCTATAATATGATTGATTACACATTCGAAACTCGACTTTCAAGAACGTTCACGAGATCGACAATATGAGTAAAACACATATACACTGCTACACAAATTCGGGCTTCTCAATTCTAAAAATACAGTTTATCTTTAAACTCAACAGTGCCATATGTAACAACATTTATGAAACATATTATTTCCAAATTAACATACTAACCATGATTACCATTTATTGATCATGGCTATTTATGTGGAAACAAAAGAAGCTTACCATGAAAGCAAAGAGGCTAATCCAACCAATGATATTTGTATAAATGACACAAAAAAAAAAAAAATCAAATATTAAGTTCATACATATGCTCAGTATACTTGCAATCAATTTCTAAATATGAAGCATAAATTTAGTGAGGAAAGAATAGCAAAAGGAGCAAATAGAAAAGTACATTCTCTTCCCATGAACAAAAAACACTAAAAGGAAGCTTAGTTAGTAAACAGCGAAGTGTGCCTACCTCCAGCGATAACTGTTATTGATCGCCTAAACAGATGGGACATGGACATCTCAAGTTAACATAAGATCATTGCCCCCAAGGTGGGGGCGAAGGCAGACACGAACTTCGTGTTCTTCGGGCCCGACACGGAGTCTCGGCACCATAATCTCGAGGACAGATCCTGGGCCGTCGTAATATGCTTCTATATTAGCATCTTCAGGAATCCGAGTTGCCAGCGGGATCTCCCTTACAAATTCACCCGGGGGACAGTGTTCTGGAGATGGGTCTGTAAGCTTGAATGTTCGATCATGTCTCTTGATGAAGGGCATGCCCGACGTGGTCATGCAAGACACTTTTATGATACCGTGCGTGAGCGTGTTCCTCCAAGAAACTTTAACGCTCTGAAGGTCAACAAAAGGCAAGCTGATGATGATTAAATAACCTTCATCGTCCTCATATATCGACTTGGCAGCTGTTACGGGCCCGTAAACATTCTTCATTACACCACTAAAGTCGTTTAACCAATGTGGCTCAGTTGGGTGGACTTCCATATCGGAAATGCGATCGGATGTGTGATTATTATTCACAGCCAAGTAGCAATCATCATCGTTACCGTTTGAGAAGAAATCCTTCTTCCTTTTACTGCTGACGGGCGATAAATCCATCCCATCGCAGTTATTGTGGTTCGATGGCTGAGTTGACAAATTAAGCACAGATCCGTTGAGCAGTTTTTTTGAGTGAGAATTCGAGGCAGTTTTTATAGAGGTTGGCCTCTCAAGTTCGAAATCAGTGTTGGGTAGATTTCTCCATGAACTGAAATCACCTGCCTCAGAGGGAATGGTGAAATTCAAGTCCCTGCCTGTGAGTTCCACCCACCTCTTCCTGTCTTCTTCATCAAGACCCATCAAATTGGGAGATGGAACAACCTCAACTCCATGAACACACTGAGGATTCGAGAGACCCCTATAATGCTTCCGTTGCATTCTGTGAGATCGAACAAAACCCTTATCGACACTAAATGGAAAGGGGCGCTCCCCTTGGCGAGAATGACCGTTCATATAACTCCTAAGCTGCATTTTCCCCAGTGCATTATCAGGCCTCTCCTTAAAAACCCACATATACATGTTCTCCATATCATGTTGAACCATGAAAATATCAAGGTTCAGATCAGACTTTTCGAACCCAGAAATCCCATTACTGTCCCTGATGATCTTGGCCTTTGACTTATCATTCATCGCAGGCTTGAAGTAGAAACTGAAGAAAAACCAAGCACCCCAGATACAATCTACGCGCTTCACGCATTTCCGCCCGACCTTAGGGGCAATGAGGAAGCTCTCAGTCTCATAAACCTGCGAGCCAAGTCCAACATCTAAAATGTCACACGGATCGGAGCTCCATGGCTGCTGGGGCGGGCTGCGCTCGGCAGACAGGGGAAGGTTGATATCTGGCGGGCGGGAGAGCACAATTTGGCGGTTCATTTCCAAATCCAATTCGTCATGAGAAGAAGCACTGGAATCCATAGACAAGAGTGTGGATGGGTGATGAGTCTCCATTGAAAGAGTTGTTAGTCGAGAACCTCCCATTTCAGCTCATCATCTCCTCGGTGGTGGGTTAAATATAGCCATTCCAAAAACACAATTCAAGAGAGAAGAACCCCTTTACAAAACCAGCTCGCTTATATATCAATCCCCACAATATCTTCCCTCCATCAAAACCCTAGATTTATCAATGAAAATAACAGAAACCTCACAAACTCACAAGAAATTTAAACACAACCACAAACAAAAACCATATAAAAAGAAAATCCCCAAAAGGAGTGTGTCAAAGGAGGTGAAATATTATACAAGAAAAAAGGGCAGAAGTAGAACAAATCCCTAGCTAAGACGAGAGCAGATTTCACAGACGCTATAGAAACACAATATCCAACCCTAGCCCTAAAATCTCCTGATATCCCCCACACATGGGTGGAAAACAATGAATCAGACCCATCAAATCCATTCCAAATTGCAACAGAACTCTTCAGAAACTACCCACCCCTGTTCTCTTCTTCTCACGTCGAAACAAACCCACCCATATGCACAAGAAAGCAAGAAACCCACGAAGCTAATTGAACATCCATTGACCCAGGAAGAAGAAAATCGAATTGGATCTTCAATGGGAGTACCTTATGGTGTAAACACGAGGGAATCGAGAAGACGAGTGAGCTCCATAACCAAACAGGATGCAGGGCTCCATCATATAGCCATGAACCATGTCTGTAACCAGCAGCAGCAGCAGCAGCAGCAGCAGCAAGAACTGATTTTTTTTCTTTTCTCTTCCTCCCCCAGTCCTGAAAACCAAAGGGAAGAAAGAAAAAAAGCCCAGAAAAGAGGGAGAGAAAAAATTGATGGGAAAGTGGAAGGTGTGAACAGAGGAAGAGAACAGAGGCGTGAACCAACATCTCACTATAAAGAGGGCCAAAGTGGGGTTCAAACCTGCACTGGATGCCACCCGAAAACGCTGCCTCGCTGTTTGTTAACGGTGACGGTGCCATTCACAAACAAGGGTCATTCTCACACACACCGTGTAATGCCTAATTCTCTGTTTTTAAGCATCTTTAAGCCCAAATTTTAAACATAAAAATAAATTTAACAATTCAAATATGTTATTTTGAGAGAGATAACTAAGAAAACAAAAAAACGAAAAACGAAATTATTTTTGAGCGATACTTTTTTTTTTTAACTTGATTCTTAGTCTTTCAACATTATATCAGGTAGATCTACTAATTATAGCTCTAGAAACTTTAGTATTGCAGGAGTGATTAGATATATACTTATTGAATACTTTAATATTCAACGATATACTAAATATGGATATAAAATTTTTTCGAATAAAATTTATCAGTTTTATTGTTGGTTTATAAAATGTTTTAATAGGACTAAATATTGGAGCTATAATTTTAAAACAAATGCTTTGAAAATTTAGATTTATTTTTAATTTTATCATCTACGTTCACTTAAAAGAGAATAAATTTGAATCAAGTTATAACATTGGGGAAATAATTTGTTACCACATAATTAATTGATTCAATTAATTTTTTTTATATGTTTGGTGTTTATTTAACTATTGTTATTTTGAGAAAGTTTATAGCGTTCATGTTGAGGATGTATATATATATATATTTTTTTGAGTACGAGAAATATATTAATGTTGCCACTTATTTAAAAAGTTAATTTTATAAAATAAAAATTTTGGGATAGTTGACTTGCTTTGGTAGAAGATCAAAACTTATCCTAAAATCTAACAAAGGTTGTATATGGACAACAAAAATTTTCCTATTTTTTTCTTTTAATATTCTTAATTTTTAAAGCTGGCAAATTAAATTTACTACGTAAAAAAGCTATTTCTTATTTTTATAAATAAAGGATGTTGATAGGGTAGGCCATAGTGTAGTAGGAGACTAGAAAAAGGTTGTTTTGTCCTGCCTATTAAATTCATTTTAATCTTAAAAGATTAAAAATTTATTAACCTCCCGTCATTATTGTTATTGGTAGGATGAGAACTTGCACGTGACCACTCGTTTACAAAACCTGAAGTTGAAGAGGTTGACGACGAGGTGGGACATGCAAGGTCACAGTTCCCAAAGATACCTCAGTTAGAGCCACATACACGATTTCTACACAAGGTAATTAAGTTGGTTTAATACTAGTTCGAAATAAATTCTAACTTAAGTTTTAAAATGTATGTGGCCGAACACTATACAATTCAAAGCTAACATTCCAACTTGTCCAAAATCCTACATTAACAATTGTTATTATAAAGTATAAACAATGTTAACATATTTCCTTGTTTAAGATTAAAAGTTGACTTCTCTACCTCATTTTTATTCATCTCAAAAAATAAAGTTACTAAAACAAATAGAAAAACAAAATATTGATAAATAAATAAAAGGGGGGAAATTTTCAGACCTATAATTGGGATATTTGTTGCCTTTTGGTCTAATGTTTCATGTGCCAACATAGGAAAAGGGAAAGAGAGAAGGGCTTTTAAAACATGCGGTAGTTGCCCTCAAATTGAACTTTGAGATATTTTGATTTTTGACCACT